TTGATGCTCATGTTGTGGACGAGCCTCTACATGGTGAGTCTCCTCTACAGACACCACAGGAGAGCTCGGAATATCCGTAGCACATTTTCCCGAACATCCGCAGAAATCAAAGCAACTCAAAATATTCTTTTGCTGGTGAGTTTCTTTGTTTTGTTCTATTTCTCAGACAACTTTGTCAATTTACTTGCATTTTATTCTCTCAAAAAACATATACTTTTAAATGCGATAAATGTCATGTTATCAGCATGTTATCCAACCATTTGTCCTTTTGTTTTGATGAAAAATACTAAAATGTTTTATAGATTCTTTCACTTTATATTGATGTGAGTTAAGTGTCCTTGAACTGTTTTTAGTGGCTAATTTGACAGTACAGCTGAAAAATATGGCATCATGGTAAATGATTACCATATGATCTCAAGATAATGTGAAAACAACTATGCACATATCAATACTTGTAAAAATTAATCTGGGTTTAAGTTATTCAGAGGAGTGCCAGATTCACTCCATAATATACAATAAAATAAATTGTACTTCTCTTAATGTCTTCGTCAATTTATGTCTAATGACAGCACTACACTTGTCTTGTTGAAAAATTTGTAGATACTGGCTTAACAATTTAAGTTAAAATTGCTTCTTCTCATCAATAATTCTTTACCTGAAATGTTAAGACATTTTGTCTATACTGTAGGCCATTTACTTAAATATATTTTCCTCTCAGCATTCATTCCTAACTCCATCTTCCCTCCTTATTGTCTTTTCAAATTAGGAAGTCCTTGATCTGTTTTACTAATTGTTTTATACTATGCTGGCAAAACTGATGAAAATGAAGTTTCAATCAGTGGATACATTCTTTTGCACTAATCTTTGGGTGAAATATGATTATTTTATTTTTTATGTATTTAGTACAGGGTGTACAGGGTACCATTATATAATTTGGACTCATAGTGATCCTCCTGTTTTCAGCCTCACAAGCACTGAGGTTACAGGTGTGCAACACCACGCCCTGTATCAGTCACATCACAGCATGCACCAGGGACCAGGCCCACATGGCATGCTAGGGAGTGTACCTTGGTCTCTGGGCCTGCCTAAGCAGACGCTTTAGTCCTCTGGGTTATTTAGCTGACCCTTGATGATTGTTATTGATTTTTTCAAAATTTGAGGAAGTTCAAGAATAAAAGTTATATTTGGTGGGAGTTTCAGTGAGCCTCCTTGAGCCTGTGGAGCCTCCATGACTCATGCCAGAATGACGAAGCCTACACTCTGACCCCACCAAAGCAGCAGCAATTACATCCTCTTTGAGGGCCTGAAGCATCATGGGAATAGAAGGAGGGAAGAGACACTGCTCATGGTCACCTGATTACTGCAGGACAATTGGGGGCCTCTGGAAGCTCCTAAGACCTGGGGAAAAAAGCCTCTACACCATCCTCCCTTCATTGGGAGCTCAAGGGAGTTTTGCTGAGCTTCAGGAGCATCATTTATCTCTGTCAGAGGGAATAAACTCTGCCCACAGTACCAGTGCCATCCCCAATCCTTGATCTTAAAGAAGCTGATGCCCAGCCCTTACTCCTATAGGGAAGTTCATCCTGCCAGCATGGGATGTGCCCAATGCAGGGCAACCAATTGGCCTTGGAGGACCCAAGAATACTCCACTCTAATCAGAGAAACATATTATTACCACTCCTATTTTATTTTATTATATATTCTGTATATAACTAAAAACTTTGCTCCTATTATTAAAGTAGAAAATCAATAATTACCACAATTTGTTGACTTCTCAATTATGCTTACTTTCAATTGTACTTTTTTTAGCTAGGATGTCATATCGGTTGTAATCAGCTGTTTTCCTTTGTGTAATACTACCGTGAAATACTATTGGAAAGCTTTGTGTTCATAACCTCAACACACCTCTGCACAAAAAGCCTAGGTACTTAGCCAAACACAAACCAACAACCCACTATCAATTAATTTTGAAGGAAAGCTCTCAAGACACACACAAACCAAGATTCTCCTACACACAGAAAAAAAATCACTGAAGTAGAGACTATTCCTTAAGAGGCCTTGAGAGAAGTGATATACCTACCTATTAAAATGGGAGAAGTTGGTTTCACACAGGGCAATCGCACAGGCTAAGGGAGGGACACATGCTGGGTTCAGGGAGGACCCTATTCTCTGGTCCTTGGCAGACCTAGCTGGGATTTCCTTGTTGCTTTTGTCTCCATGTGCCTGTTCCAAATGTGGAGGTTGACCTGTGACACGAACCCTAGTCCTCTGTGCCTGGTGTTGAGTAAAAAAGTCACAGCTGTGGAGCATCATGGCCATGATATTGGCAATGCACTTTGGTTCCGTTGAAATTTCCTTAGGCTCAGGATAGTGCCAGCCTCAACAAAAACAAAACTTCCAGCGGTCGGAGCTAGAGTGACAGCGGGCACACATAGTGGTTGGACACAGAGGATATAGCCACAAGGCCATAGCCCCCGATGTCTTGAGGAGGGAAACATGTGCAAGGGAGCACATTCCCAGGACTAAGATTATCCAGCCGTTAGTAACAACTTGAAACAATAGAGTAAAAGCAGCCACAGAGACAGCCTCAAAACAAAGAAGTCTCTAAGTCTTGCTAAGTATCATCCATACTTATTATACAGGGATATCAAAGTTCTGATTCAGTGAATCCAAACCATTGCTTAAGCCACACCACTCTCTTGTATTGTTCAAATGGTCATTTTCTTTTTTGTTCATTTTGTTTTTCACTATGAATCTCTTTATTTTTTTTTAGTTTGTTTTTTTTCAA